GGAGCCCACTACCTATGGTGTGACACATTACACAGCCTTGAGGCAGTGGGAGGGGCATGGACCTGTCTCTACTGAATGTACCAGGCTCTGCTGACTCCCCATGGGAGACCTTACCTTCTTGTAGGAGAGAATAGGTTGTGGGGCGGGAAGCCTGGAGGAGTAGAAGGAGGGAAGAGGAGGATCTGTGATTACTATGTAAAATGAATAAAAATTTCTTAAGAAAAAAAAAGATAAACTTACGAGAAGTGATCCAACAAAAGGATATTAGTGAAATGGGAAGAAAATAATATCCCTATCAGTGTGATTTATGCTCAGATAACAGCAAGGTAATTCTATGACAAGTGTCTGTCACCTTGATCTGTTGACCCTATTAACACACACACACACACACACACACACATACTGGTGATGGTTTTACAAAGTTCAGTCCTATTTTAGTGAATCCTGCCTATCTTGGTTATGATTAGTCATGCTATCTTCTCCTCTCCTGCCACCTGATTGTTAATGTCACATCAGTATAAGTAATGAGCACCATGGTGCCAGTTTAGCAGGGTGACATGTCTCCGTTTCAAGCAGTCATTTTGCATCTTGAAGAAAGGGAATTAGGCAGCCTATCAGGATTGCTGTTTCACTTCTTCAATAGTCAGCCATGGTAGCTTGTGCTTGCTGTCTGTCTTGCCCTGGGTGTATACGTAAGAGTCTTTCTCCAACTTAAGTCGTAATTGTGCACTCCTGATTCCAGGCAGCAAGTCAGGCTTTTGTGTCTTTCTCACAGGAAGTCAATCCTTTTACAGATGGACTGAAAATTCCAGTTGCTTCTGCCTGCTTCTGGATTCCAGAGCCTTCTGGACCCAGTTTCTCACCTGCTATTCCATTGTGTTTGTTTATTTTTAACGTTTCTGGTCCCTAGAGCTGTTTGACCCCTTTCTGACCATGGCTTTATCATTTCAGTCAGTTCTTTCTATGTTTAACTGTCACTGCTTTTCCTGTGAACAGGCAAGTCTTCAGAGTATCAATTTGCAATACTGCTTTTACTTGAAGTTCTCTAGTTTTGTCTGAACTGACTTTTCCCATTGCATTTCCAAAACAGCTGCTTAAAGCAGAGGCTCAAGTGACTCTGTTTATCTATATACATCAGAATTTTGCATCTTTTGAGTTTAGGATGAGAAATTGAATCTCTCTTCACCAGAGCCTTCTATTTATAAGCTAGTACTGTTCTGTAAGAGAAGCCCTGAATAAATCATTCATTTCTTTCATTTTAGTTGGTGCATGAGTCTACTTCTGTGAGAGAATATATTAAATATGACTTTACTGTAGTTGGTTTTTTTACTCTTTGGGGGCCAACCACCCAGCTTGCAAATAAATACACAGAGACTTATTCTTACTTATGAAAGGACAGCCTTAGCTTGGCTTGTTTCTAGCCAGCTTTTCTAACTTAAATTATCCCCTTTCTCTTTAACTACATTTTGCCTCTGGGATTTTTACCTTTTTTTATTCTCTATATATCTTTCTTTCCTTCTTACTTCATGACTGACTGTGGCTAAGTGGCTGACCCCTGCTGTCCCTCTCTCCTTTTCTCGTTCCTCGCTCTCTTCCCTACATTTCCCCTCCTATTCATTCTCTCTGCATGCCAGCCCTGCCTATTTCTCTTTCCTGCCTAGCTGTTTGCCATTCAGCTCTTTATTAGATCAATCAGATATTATAGACAGGCAAAGTAACACAGCTTTACAGAGTTAAACAAATGCAACATAAAAGAATGCAACACATCTTTGTATCATTAAACAAATATTCCACAGCATAAACAAATGTGACACATCTTAAACTAATATTTCACATTTACCATCTTAAAATTTTCATATACACATATGAGAATTCATATGAATTTCTTATAGACACTTATATACATGCATGTACACACAGAGAGACACACACACACCTTGATATTGATTTATTCCCAATTTGCAGAAATTTGCAGATTAAAGTCGTTTTCCTGATTCCATTTTGAATCACTTAGCATGGTGATGTTTATGGGCATTGAGTATCTGTTGCATTTGCTTGGACTGAGTAAAACCATTTTTGAAAATAGAGGTTATGGCTTTTGCTTTAACATGTTTTCAAATCAAGCATTTGTCTATTAAAATAACATTTTAGCATTTACCATCAATGAAGAGTTGCCCTCCTGCTACATTTTTGAATAAGGAGATGGTCTCCTTTCATGAAACATGAGCATTAGGCATCTCTGTTTGACAAGATACTATTGTTTATTCCTTATGCTGCTGTACTAAGAGCAGTGGAAGAATTAAACAGAGACTATTGCCATTGTTCTACAGGTATTCTGCATGGAGAATGATCTATGGCAGCTGAGGGTGACCTTGAAGTTCTGATCCTCCTGACTCCACCTGCTAATTACTGGGATGATGGGTGTGAGCCATCTGTTGACCCTGTTATGTGCTACTGGAGTATTGAAGCCAGGCCTCCATGAATACTAGGCTCTCATGCTCAAACTCCTCTGTGTCTCCAGCCCCAAAGCAAGGAATTTCTTTTAGAGTGAATGACTACTAAGAGAGGAGAAAATTATAAGAAAAACTCTGTAAATCTTATCTGAAAATGTATAGCTTTAACATGTATATAAATTTAAAGAATTGCTTTTAATTTTAGTGTGTGTGTGTGTGTGTGTGTGTGTGTGTGTGTGTGTGTGTGTGTGTGTATGTCCATGTCCCTGTCTGTGTGAGTGAGTGTATGACTGCACCAGCCAGAACAGGATATTGGATCTCCTGGAGCTAGAGTTACAGGAATTTGTGAGTCACCCAACATGGATGCTAGGAAATGAACTCTGATCCTCATAACAGAGCATCACATGCTCTTAAGAGCTCTAATCAGCAAATATTATAGTTTTTAATTATGAATAATCAGCTAGAAAACTTTTCACCAACTAACAAATTGATTTTGTTCAATTGTACCCAAATATTATTATTTTTCCGGTTACTGAGAAAGTTTGACAATATTTGAATACAAGGATCTCTTCTCATATTTTATTGGGGACCCAGTGTTCCTGAAAACTGCTGAAGCTGGCCATGGGGGCCACAATTTGTAGCCTGGAAGAGAACATGTGGTCACTATAAATGCTGTTTTGGTGTTGTAGAGAGCTGGTGAGACTTGAATGTGTTTTTATGGGTATCCTTCATTGGTGACAACTTCTATGGTACAAATGATTAAGAACATTGTGTTTGCATTTATTCTCCTTGTAAATGTGCCCTATAAGCATGCACTGTGGGTTTATATAATGTGTTAGGAGGGCAGAAAAGATTGTTCTTCCCAATTCAATAACAATCCAGTAAGGAAAATGAACCATCGGTGAGTTTCAGGAAAACTCTAACACATTTTTGGACATCTTTACCTCTGTCTGTGTCATTTTGATTTGAAGTTTACTTAATTTTCATTCTTCATTTTCGGGATGGGGATATAGGACTAATTTTTCTTCATCTGCTTCTGTAGCAAAGTGAAATTTTGTCAATATAGCACAACAAAAACAATAAAGATTTTTCTCTTTGAATTACATAATGAATATAGTCCTCATTTAGAAAGATACGTTTTTAGTATGTCTTATGAGAGAGTACCAAATGTGCAAAGCAAACCATTAGAGCTCATTCAGATCTTAAAATATTAGGTTGGATACAAGTTTAAATATTAAAAGGCCCTGAGGCATAAACCAAGTGTTGGTTGCTGTGGTCATTTAGGATTACAACTGATCACTGTAATGGCAACGTTCCAGTGGATCACTTGTGGTATTTAGTAAAAATGTGATAGCAAAAGTTTCCACACTGGTACATAGAAGCTTTCCAATATTGTTATTTTACAAAGAATATATAAATGCACATAGAAAATACATACTCATGCCTAGAAGGAAACCTGTTTGCTACCAATGGCTACCTCTGGGTAACTGCATGGTACATTCTGCTCTATCTGTGCCGATACTGAATCTGTAGATTGGTTTTGGTAGGATGGCCATTTTTACTGTATTAATCCTACCAATCCACGTGGATGGGAGATCTTTCCATCTTCTGATATTTTCTTTAGTTTCTTTCTTCGATATTTTAAAGTTTTTAATCATACAAGTCTTTCACTTGCTTCCTTAGAGTTACCCCCAAGATATTTTGCATATTTGAGGCTGTTGAAAAAGGCATTATTTTCTTGATTTCGTTCTCATTCCATTTGTCATTTGTATATAGGAAGACTACTTATTTTTGGTGAGTTAAGTTTGTATTCAGCTACTTAAGTTGCTGATATTCATAGATAAATTCTTCTTTAAGTTTTGGACCATTGGATTAGTCTTTTGGTTTGAGGACTAACGTAAGAAATAGGAAGGGGTCACTAGGTCAAGAAACCAAGAGACAGACCTCAAACAAAGTGAGGAGAAAAGCAAGACTCAAGCCCAAATGGCCTTGTGTGAAGCGGCAGACACAAGCACCTCTTCTTCCAAACCCTCTGTACGGCCTTAGAGAAGGCGCTGAGCACTATCATAAGAAAGATTTGGGAGCCACTGGCTCTGTACGTAGGTCCACAGAGTCACAGAGAATACCCTGACAGGGAAAGCAGGGCTTGTCAGTGACAAATTTGTAGACCCTTGAGCAAAAATAAGCAAAAATTATTGGTAAATACAGGAAATTCAATTAAAACAGAAGGATGCTTATGCCTGACACTGGGGGACTGATGACATCAGTCACAGCTCTGAGTCATTTCCCTGGTGTCCTTTCTGGATGCTGAAGACAGGCAATCTGGGTTGTCAAGTGCAGGGCCTTCCCATGTGTTTCCTTAAACTTATCCTCCTTTCAGAAGGGAACAGCCCACCCATCTCCCTGTCCTCAACTCTACCTCACAATTGTTATATAACCACATGGCAATTGTTCAAAATATTTCTGTATATGTTTTTGAAAATGTTAGCATGCAATTATAAGGAAGACCATTATATTTCTAATGAATTATATCAACTTCTCTTCCAGAAATTGATGAGAAGAGGGTGAACAACACTCAAGAAGATGTAAGTTTTCCTATGTTGTAGATAATTGTTAAAACACAATTAACTGTGATAATATTACTGTGGGTTTTTTTTCTCCTTATTGTGAGGATGAAACCCAGGTGCTAACACACAGGCATACTCTCTGCTGAGCTACATGATCAGCCCAGCATATTCTTTGGAACAGAGTTCTTTGGTGCCAATTTACATTAATGTTAACTGTGTGCAGACAATATATAATAACATAAACAGCTAACATAAATAAATATCACTGTGATATAGAAAGTATTCATGTTGTTTTTCCTGAAAGAGCAGTAAAATGGTATGATGCAAAGCTCTGCCTCAGATACCTTGCTTCTTGATGCAATGCGAAGCCCTGCAAAAATTTCTAAATTAAAGCACTGATTTTAATTGTAAGATATGCAACTGATAGTTTTAATTTTCTGAGTAATTATATTTACATTGAAATTCAAGAGTAAGGAGATTGAGGCAGTGTCAGGCACATCTGAAGAGCTCTTCAGCTGTTCAGAGCCAAAGTCAGCTCCATAGTCCGAGTCTGGGGCGAATGAGTTCCTCTAGACTCCAGAGCCTTGATAACCAGAGCTAACAGGTTCACTAAATAACACGTTAAATGCAAACTCAGTGACAGTCTGAACTTTGTACATATCTTTCATTTTCCATATCTAAATGGAGAATTCAGATAGGAAGTAGGAGGCAGGGGAAACTTGAGGATCTGATAGAATGTATAAAATATGAAGACCTTATGTAGGCCCAGTAATGTAACAAAGAGAGAATGGATGGACTGTGGGTGTAAGCAGTTTCCATGATCATGAGTAAGCATACAACACCCAAAGAGGAAATTCTAGAATGTGCAAAATACCAAATAACATTTTGTACATACAGCTTTAAATAATTTACTGAGAAAGTTAACGCAAAAATGCTTTGAAAACTAAGCATTTATATAAATTTATATAAATATAACTAAGCATTACGTTTCATCGTTATCCTACTAAAAGACAACAAAACTAACTATCTATGTATCTTAGAATGTGTATATGGAAAAAGACACAAGGAATCTCAGAGGTAGTAGCTACTTATCAAACTTAGCCTGACATGCCTGGAGCAAGAATGTTCCCCCAGAATCATTAATCACCCACACAGTTGATATTAATGTAGACCAGTACCAAAGAACTTTGTTACAAGAAAATGCTGGACTGGACACATGGTTCTGTGTAGAGTGTGCCTGTGTGTGAGGCCCTGCTTTTGACCCTCAGTATAAGGAGAAAAACAACTCTTGGGCAGCCAAATGTTTGTTTCCATTTTCTTACCTTTATTTTTTGATAGATGTATTTTTGCATCAGTATATAACAACATCTGGATGATGATTTTGAGGACAATTTAGTTTGCATAAATGTGCCTCAATTCAAGTTAAAACTTTACAAAATAGTTTCTACTTTCTTTCGAACTCTACACCTCACATTCTTTTTGTATATGCATGGAAAGCATAAAACCACCCCTCAAATATATCTTGTAACTATTTATGCTTGAGGTTTTCTCAGCAAACATCACTGCAGATACCAGAACTCATTAATTGGGACTCTTTCCTTTATCTCATTAAAATATAAATTAATGTAATTAAAAAAATAAACTTTCCAAGTCTCATGTAGCTTCAGTGTCACAGGATGGTAATAGCTGCCCTTGAACTTCTGACCCTCCTTCCCCCTCTCTAGTGGTAGGATTATAGACACGCACAACTATGTTTTATGAAGTGATGGAGACAAAAACACAGGCTTCATGCATGCTAGGCAACAGTATGTTTTGATTATTTCCATAAATATTATTGTAAAAAATATAAATAAATAATACATTGTATTGTTATATTGTATCAATAAATATAAAATGTTAAAAAAGTCACTCGGACAAAATCTGATTGGTGAATGAACTATATTAAATAATAGAACAATTAATATCTATAATATATAGATGATTCCACATGATTATAGAATGATGATTTTTGACCATGAAATATGTTGTTATTTTTATCATTTTAAAATGTGAAACCTTGTAATAACCTTATCCTGATCTGGGTATTTAGTTAACAGTGCTACATAGCAGTTTGGGTAAGAAAGGGCTTACCTTTTAGACAAGCAGAAGAGTATTACCTTAACATTTTCATTCTGAATAAAAGCAGGGCTTAGATTAAATGTGGCAATTCAAGAGGGTTTGGGATTTCTTTTATGAATGAAGGACTCTAATTTTCCCTTTGAAACACTCATTAATTACAGAGGCAGAAAAAATACATGTCATGTGTGTCTATATCTATATTATGTATCATTGGCATATTTTTGAAGTATACTTTGTCTCAGAACCCATGTTTTTCTTGCAATTGGATTAATATCTGTTTATTTCTTTAAAATAAACTAATCTGGGGCAGGCAAGACGGCTTAATAGGTTAAGGCACTAGCATTTGCCACCAAGTCTGACACCCCAAGTTTGATCTCCTAGACCTATAGTGTCAAAGAAGAGAAGCAATACTACAAATTGTCCTCTGACCTAGACACGTGCATCATGTTATATGCATATCCACACATATACACACACAAAAGACAAACAATCAAACAATAAAAAAATAAGCAAATGTAATAAAATTATATACAATACTGTTAAACTAATGTTAATAATGAAAACAAAACCATGGAGAATTTTATGATAAAACAGGCCTTTGGCTTTATATAGCTCAGAGGTCCGTGGTATCATTGGACATGTCTATAATTGGTTAAAGCTCTGCTTCTTGACAGGGAGATATCAGAAAACCTTTGAGATGTAGTGCAGTTTTACCTACTTCACATGTCTGGCAGCAATATACTTTTGATGTACGTCTAATGCTTTCTCTTTCCTTTTCCACAGTCGCAGAATGCATCCCCTAAGCAAAGGAAGCAGAGTGTGTACACACCGCCTGCCATGAAAGGTACTGTCAGGTACCATTTCTGGGTGTCATGAATGATGGATGTCCTGAATGGCAGGCTATTTGTCCCTAAAGCTGTTCCATAGATCATAGGCTTGTCTCAACTCTGCCAGTCTCAACGTTGTGGTGATCAGGAAGACATTTACATCTTGGAAGTGTTGTTTTGTCGTGGGTGAACTTCAGGCAGTTGAAGAGTCAATGACTGCAGAGTCCCAGAATCTTAGAATGGAAAAATCAATTTTCAAAATAATGACAATATTTTTTCTTTTACCTTTCCTTATATCTTTTTGTGAAAGAATTTTTCCATAATCTTTAATTATTCCTGTTGATTGGCACATGATTATCAGGCTTTTTTCCCCCTTAACTTAAAGCAGAAGAGCTTGAAGAGCAGAAATGGAATGTCAAGGGTTTCCTCATTGCCTCCCATCAGGGAGCAGCTCTGCTCAACCCAATCTAGCACCAATTTGCTATACTCCTAACGGCTGCTCAAATCACAACAGAGAATGCTAGCTCAGATGCTGGCGTTTCCCCAGAATTTCTCTTCAAAATGGAACTGCCAAGTAACATCTAAGAGTAGAAGTATTTTGACCAATACTAGTTCCAAGAAAGGCTTCTTTTCTTTTTCACACAAAAATGTTCCTGACACAGGCAGTGTCTGTTGAGGCCAGTATCTTGCCTTCCAGCTTGGCTCCCTGGCTATTGGCTCAGGGTTCATCACACAGCTCTGATTCAGTGCCCAAGAAGCTAGCTGGGAAGCTTAGAAGTCTAACCCAGGAGTGAGAGTTTCCACTTTTCATTCTCTTTTCGGGGAGGTGGAATATAAATGGACCCATAACTACTTTCAGTAAACTTCCGTCCTGAGGTTATAAAAGGCTGTGTCTGTTTATACAAGGATGAGTACATAATGCATTCATCTGCATTGTAGTTTATCTCAAATTAATTAATGAAATTCCTAGGCATCTTTGTCTAAAGATTAGGGTAGCATTTTAAAGATATTTCTTCATTGTAAGTTATTCGTATTCTTCAAGACATAGCGGTTTTGGCATGAATGGACAACAATGAAAGATATACGTGCTATTGCCCAATTCTTTCCTCTGTTTTATTTTGGGATAGCTTAAGTTAAATAAAGTAGTCCTCATGTCCTCAGAGAATAACTACATTATTTTGAAAGGAAAATCTTAAACTCAAAGGCCTAAGGGGCCATGGTGCTCATTATTTTTAGCTCTCAAATATCTTAAGAATGTGGGATTCTAGCATTTAGGAAAGCAAGTTCTACTGAAGCATTTTTAATATAACTTTACACTGTGGAACCCAGAGATTGTTCTTCAACAACCACTCTACAGTAATAAGTTAAAGCCTTAAGGAAGTACAGCCATGCTTTCAAGAAGGCATCTGGGTATTGATACAAATCACTTAGTGAATATTTCTGTGAGTTTTCAGCTTATGATAGAAGAAAAGGCCAAATCTAAATGATTTCCTCCATCTATCTGTTCCTAAGAGCTGGAAATGTGTGTCTGAAGACCAATTTAGCCAATGGTAACATATGCTCTATTGTGAGCACAGTGAGGAGATTTAATCATAAGAAGGATGGCTGGACAAAGGGTGTGTTATTGAGATGGTAAACACATTAATGCAGTTGCCCCAAAATGTAAAGTTCTTCAGATTGCAGTGGAACATCGCAATAAGTAAGAGGAAAATGGTTTGCTGGGAGTGCAAAGCACCAACAGGGGTAATAAACAGTTGTGAAACAAACGAACAAACAAACCAACCAACCAAACCAACAACAAAACAAAGAGGCGATTATGTCTGAAATTTCCTGCATCCCTCAAAACTAATTTCTCTTAGTGCAATCGATATCTAATTAGTTTTTGATAGCATCCATATGCATTGTTGACAAACAGTAAACTGACTACAAATCTAAAATTTCTGAACCTCGTTTTGTACTGATTTACATATTCACCCATCATTTCTCATTGTAAAATTATAAGACTTTTTTGTTTTGCTCCAGCAAAATGAAAGTCAAAACTATCATCTCAATAGGATTTTCTGCTTTCAGAGCTGGGCTGTTGGATTGACATATCATAGTTTGTCTCCTGATTCTATCTTCCATTATGATTTCAGTTATCTCGGTGGTGTGCCATCCACAGAGAAAATAAGTTTATCTTTCATTTTTTTAATCCAAGTCCATTACAAATCTACCAAACAGAACAAAATTCAGACAGAAAAAGAGAGCGCCCTGGAGCACATGTGTCTCCCTCTGGTTGACACTCACTTTGACTGCCACAATTTAACAATTATCTACCAGACATAATGGAATGCTATCCCTTCAAGTCAGAGGTCCTCAGAGGTACTCTTCTTTGATGGGCTGAGGTATTTTAGATATCCTGTGATCACCACACTTTTTATAACTATACAGATCAATCATAAATTTAAGTTGTATATTGTACTTAAAAATGACAAAAGTTGACATTTTCATCAAAAACACTTACTTTTCCCTCACACTGTAATCTAGTGCTTTATGATCAGATAAGTAGGAAGCTCTGAAGATTGTCATAAAAATGACTGCTGATGGCCGGGCGGTGGTGGCGGCGCACGCCTTTAATCCCAGCACTCGGGAGGCAGAGCCAGGCGGATCTCTGTGAGTTCGAGGCCAGCCTGGGCTACCAAGTGAGTTCCAGGAAAGGCGCAAAGCTACACAGAGAAACCCTGTCTCGAAAAAAGAAAAAAAAAAAAAAAATGACCGCTGATGACTGGAGATTCCTGTGCACTTTCCTTGTGTTTATTTATGTGGTTGTCAGCCTGTAATTTACAGAACAGCCAATTAAATTGTTGGATTGCTTGAATTTCATTTTCAGAAAAGCAAAGTGAATTTGAATCCTGGCACAGAAAATGGCTGACTCATTTCCTCCCCTGTGTGTGTGTGTGTGTGTGTGTGTGTGTGTGTGTGTGTGTGTGTGTGTTCTACTGGGATTCAAATGTATTTTACTGCAAAGCAAGTGCTATTGATTTATATGAAAGCCTGAACATTAAACAAAGGAGCAGACAGAAAATCCACTTAGTGTGGCAGAGCCCATTAGTATTATATTTCTACTGTTAGTGTACAGTAAGCCATAAATTTCATTTACTTCAGGAAAACATCTTCTTTGTATTCTTTCTAATTTCTTATAAAAGAACATTTTAGTTACTTTAGTGTCCTGTGCTAATTCTTCTGAGCTGATGTACCAGGTAGATTTTCGGATGTATAAGGGTTTATTTTTAATTTCTCCAAAGATGGCTGCAATCATAAATTTTTAAACTTAATTTAGCCTCTTCTCATAAATAGAGCAATAAATGAAAATAAGAAACAACTCAGTGTAGAAATCGAATGACCTAGTACGAAGGTTAAAATAGTTTTAAGGAGTCGGGTCAAAGACTGTGGCAAGGGGTATGGAATATTACTGAAGGATGATCCATCTTATCGTCAGGTGAAGTTGCTTGTCATACTGATTTCAGGGGAACCAACATGAAAGCACATGGGTTTTGAGGGACAGCTCATCAGGATTCATAACTTAGCATCCCCACTTGTGAGCTGAGCAACCTTCAGAAAACCAGGGTCAATCTTTTTGTCGTCTCACATTGATGAAATGGAGATGATCTGGCATGAATTACTAGGGAAACTGAAGCAAAATGTAAGCTGATAATACTTAAAACGGGCATATCATATGCACGTCCATTTGAAGTAGTTATTTGGACCCACGATGGAGAATGAGGTGCAGCCATGTCCATTTCCATTGAGGTCTTCAGATTTCAGCAATGAGGATATGAGGAAAGCATCACTGTGGCTGGAAAAATCCTGCTGCAGATCTGACCTTGCCCAGCGGGAATAAAGTCAGCTCTAAGGGTGCCTGGTCCTACACAGCATGGGCTCACCACATCTTGCAAGTTTTTTTTTTTTTTTCAGTTCAGCTATAGCCAAACCTAGAAAGTTTTCTTTGATATTCTGGTCCCCTTTCAACACAATCTGGTTGTAGCTTCATTTCACCCAGTGGCTCCTCATAGATGCCATGTCCCCCTTTCCCAAGTGAAACAACAGGGCAACCATGCATAGTGATATGTAAGTTTCCAGAAAGCATAAGATTGAAGTGTTGGCTGTGGTGAATTTGGATGCAGACACAAAGTGTGCAATAAATATGTCTTGTCAGGGGGCTGAGTACACTATATACACACAACTTAAAGGCAGTAGAGGTAAATTAGCAATGATTGTATTGTGTGTATTTTGACTGTGACTCAGGAAGTTTTCAGAAGGAATCAGTCAGCACCCGTCTGCCTTTCCTAAGTACTGTACAGAAACTGAAGACAAGGACAGAGGGGAAGGACATTTGAGCTGCTTACCAGGCCATCTCTACCCCATATGTCTCTTGAGAACAATGGTTCTCAGCCTTCCTAACACTGCGACCCTTTAATACAGTTCTTCATGCTGTGGTGACCTCCAACCATAAAATTATTTCATTGCTACTTCATAACTGTAATTTTGCTACTATTATGAACCATAATGTAAATATCTGATATGTGACTCCAGAGGGGTTGAGACCCTCAGGTTGAAAATCACTGCTTTAGAGCATTTCTGACTTTTTGCAACTCCTCTGCAGGTTCTTATCACATCAGCTGTTTAAATCTTGAAGGGTTTTTTTTTTGTTGTTTTGTTTTGTTGCAGGATGTGTGTATGTGTGTGTGTGTGTGTGTGTGTGTGTGTGTGTGTGTGTATGTGTGTGTGTGTTGGCTTAGTTTATTTACTATGCAGGTTGGGGTTCACTTGTTCAAGGCAAGATTTCCAGGTAACAAGGCACATTCTAAATATACACAAATCTTGCTCCTTAAAAAAAAATAAGCTTCTATTTCTAGACCCACTTCCTTTACAACTCTTTAATTATTTCCTCTGAGTTTTAAGTTTATCTTCCCGCATATCTTTGAAAATGGAGGGTGGATTCAGGTTGGGGAACTAAGAATGTACCGTTCTCAGAAGT